GCTCGCTTTACTATCCCTGAGGAAAAATGGGGACTACTCGTAGTCTAGCAATTTTACACGTGCGGCCCACTTTTTTGTACATTTCGTGAAACTATCCAATTTCGCGTTTTACGGTGAACGAAAACATGCAACGACTAAATAAAATTTCTCTTTCTAAATTTGGATATGGTCCTTAGGAATTTAGCCTCCCACGCAGACGTTCTTAGGGGTTCGTCACGCGTTCCTGCCCCACGAGCGTGGGGCAGGAACACGTGAAGAAACCCTAAGAACGTCTGCGTGGGAGGCTATTAGGAATTCAACTCCAGTTGGGTGGGCCTTTATGAAGTGGGTAGGAATAATCGCGATAAACATTAAAAGAACCTAAATTCACAAAAGGCTGGCGTTAAGGTAGCAGTTATAAGCGTAAGAAAAAGTGCAAAAGCCTGAACTTGCTTTTAACAGGTTTTACCTGTTCAAAAATAATTTATTCGTCCATGGCGCTGGACGGCGGATCGATTAAAGAGGCAAACGGGCGCTCACAGTGGTTTCTCTCCACTCGTGGGGTAGCGTCGGGCCTGGAGAAACCACTGCTCGCAGGGTACGCATTCAGTGATTCACTTGCTAGTGCCTATTAGAGTAAGCTATAATCGATAAACTTTTTTATTTTTCCATGACAACGTTTTCTTGCAATTAGGTGCGTAAACAAAAATATAAAATCTAAAAATAAATAGTTGCGAATTGCCCCAGCTCAGCTTGAAGTGTTTCATGTTTGTTGCTCTGCTCGCCGTTCTAAGATGATGATATACTCCTTTCACTCTTTACAGTCATTTTTTGTCGTTTTGGTTGGCTTCCTTGTCCAAACCCAAACCTGGGGTAAACCTTACACCTCACAAGACACAGATGACACTTCTGAGCAGGGGGACACCTATGGACAACTAGAGCCAAACCAAGCATTAAATGAAACAGGACTCAGCCGAGGAAAAAGACAAGTGAATATACTAACCTTGGAAATGATCTGCCCTGGAAGAACAGCTTTGTCATCAGATTCGTCACCAAGTATTCATCCATGTGTAAAAAAATACTGGTATTGCCCAAAGTACAATTTATTTGAAGTTGAATGCAGACCAATTTCATTTCACAGCAACTGCCTGGAAAACATACCATTGTATGGATTTCCAAAATGTAAGCCGGGGAGGATTGAAACCGCGATATTAAATCCCGGCACTAACAAAGAGAGACATGTGAGATTGACAAAAACATGTAAATGTGCTTGAGAAACTTCGCCTCTGTCAAACATGTTTTAAAAAAAAAGATTCGATCACGCTGTATATGATAGGCCTATTTATATATTTATCTGTGTAAAGATACGATAATAATAAAAAAATATTGCAACATAACGGACAAAACTACCTTCATTTATTGCTTGTGAATCTGAATGACCTCTCTATAAAACTGATGACTAATTGTCCAATGCAAATGCTGTATACCAAACTGTGTCGTGTTTAGTACGATAAAGATTTATGATTGCCTTTTCTTTTAGAACAAAACAGAACGGAACAGGAAAAATATCCAGCAGTTCTTGGTCTTGCAGAACAGTTTCTATCCTATCCAACGTTAATTTCATTAACCAAAACTTTTCGGAATGGAGAACAAACGGCTTTGGTTGAGTTCATTTCCTTTGTTTTATGCAGATCAAAAATAAAAGTAAATACGGTGGACAAGGTTACAACATGATGGTATGGGAACCTAGAAGGCAACGGTTTGATGGATGAGAGTCAGGAGTGAAAGATCCTCCTAATTCCATCAGGACCCTTCAGCTGGGATGATTTTGCTTGCGAATAAAACGTAAGAAAACCAGAGGCTTCTGGCAGTTTGGTGCCTTTGTTAAGGATACCTCTCGGTCAGTTACGCACTTGTTAGGCGCTTAAAAATTGCATTTCCAATCAGATGACAAAAAAGAGTGTAAAAGAGTCCGGTTACTTCCTTATTCATGGGGAATCTCATTGATTTAAGAAGGGAATAAACTAACGACTTCAGGCTTCTTTAACTGTGTCACTGCACCAAATACTTTTTTCTTGAAAAAACTAAGTTTTTTAGAACAAAGTGAATTTTTTGGATAACAGGAAGAGAAATGGGGAAAAAGAAGAGTCCACATAAGTTGCCCAACCAAGAAAAAAATCCTGAGTTGTATCTCTTGTTAAAAAAGAAAGCCAAGGATTACAAGACAAGATAGCTGTAGCAGTAAAAGCCCTTTCAAGTATAACCTGCACACAGGATGTGAAGTCATCTTTATTTCCAACAACAGCTGGGCCTCTCGATTGGCCCGCTATTTCATGACTATATGGGAAACATTGATTGTGATGAAGTCATGACTTGAAAGGCAGAGTGAAATAATTATGAAAGATTTTGAAAGCAGTTGACAGGGACAGTAACTAGTAAAGCTTCCCATCTCCAGTCCCAACCCTCCCCCCCCGCCCGACCACCGCACACAAACACACACTACATGTATCTATTAAAGATCGAGCGCGACACGAAGTCAGATACAAAGTCGCATACAAAGTCAAAGTTCGCTGATATGCTTATTACTCTGTCCTCTCGTTTCTTTTCCATAGAGGCCTCAGCGGAGGAGAGAAGAATTGTTCAAAAATCGCCGAATTTTCGCCTGTAGGCTCTTTTTGTAATGACAAAGGACAAAGAGAAAGACTTAAGTGAAAAAAAATTCTGATAGAAAAAGCCCGCAATTTTTGAAAATGCCGACTTCGCTGGAAGTGCTAGATGCACCGAAAAAAAACGTGAAAAAAACACAATTACGTACTTGATTCATAAAATAAAACAAATTTGGAAAGACGGAGTATTAGTTGGCTGATAATATTACAGTCCAGTACCCCATTTTTCTGTTTTAATGTTTGGGTAGACTGCCCCTAGTTTGAGAGATGGGCGACTATCGTGATTTCTTACGGTGAGGACATGGATGGGAGGTTAATATATGGCTAGGGATTTAGAAGAGAGGGGCGGGTGTGCTTATGGTGGAAGAAAAAAGGGAGGCTGAATGAATGATGAGGCTGAATGAATGTTCAGGGAGTTAGTTTCACACGAAACTGCAAAAAGCCAAGCAGTCACTGGGACGATGTTAATTAAAATTAACTTTCAACCTTACCGATCAAAGTGGGCCACTCTGTGGATACCCATAGATTTATTTCTGGTCTTCTTTGTTTTGTGATTACTTTCCAATCTTGTAAAATATAACAATTATTAACGTTACAAACTGGTGCCAACTCTCCTCTCTTGCAGCAAATGGCTATATTGAAGGGGAACCAGAGAGATGAAATCAAACATCAGCATGAAAAGGCGCACTATGCAGCCACTTTGGTCCACGTGTGATGTCATCTCACCCAACCAGACCAATGACAGCACAAGTCATAACATGCGTCGTGGCCTTCGTAACATAGCATAACATGTGTCGATGTGTTTAGCTAATTAGTACAAGCTAATTGGGGACACTAAGTTAATAAAAAAATTGTTGAGAAGTTCACAGTACTAAAAAAATGATAATGGCAATTGTCAAATGAGCATATAGATTATTCTACAATTCAATCTAAAATTTTGCAAACATTTAAAATTTAAAATTACGTAGTTAACCTTACTACGGATATACAGCAAAATGCTAAAAAATATTCATCTCATGCTGTTTTCGAACAATCATTGTTAGGAGTTCTTTATCGTGTTCTTGCAACTGGCATTTGGTTGGTGGTCAGGCCAGGGTTTTATCTCACGGTCCTCGGCTCAGCTAGCCTGCGAATACAGCTGCCTCCACTTGCTCCTCGCTGTTGTAGACGTTTCCCCCCAAATTCCATACTGATGTAAATTTTACTGGAATCCGTCTGGTTAACGAAAACTGATTGGTCAACGACGTAATTCTATTCTTTTAGCTATTGTTTACGAATGACAGAAAAAGGACAAAAGGTCATAAAGATCAAATGTAAACGTCATGAATCCACTAAAAATCATTAGCTAATTATTCGTGGATTATAATCTTCTTTATAAGAAGCACTCGATTTTTGCTGCTTCGTTTCGGCAGAACAGCTTACCCTGCGAGCAGCTTCTCCTAGCTAGAAGGATCTTTTATAGCCCTTCTATAGGAGAAGGGCTATAAAAGATCCTTCTAGCTTCCTCTGCGACGAGCGTCCCGTTTTTCTCGAGTTACTGAATACTATTAATTGGTCTTCTTTAAAAAATTGCTGGACCAAATTTATGACGACCAGAGTAATATTGTTTTTTTTTTAACAGCATGGCCACCTTGTGGCGTGGTTGATCTTTTTTCAATAGTCTTTTTCTTAGAAAAAAAAACACACACACACACACACTAGATCGGTGTTGATAACTGGTTTACATGCATAGTAAAAAGGCAGCACATATTCCCATTTCTAATATTCCTCCTGCCATCTACTTCTCTGATGTTCCTGCCTGTCACCTCTACCCTTCAAATTATCTGAAGTCAATGAGAAGCTGATTCCCTCACACGGCTCTCAAGTTTTATGAACTTTTAAGATGACTTGCACGGAATTTTCAGAGTTCCAATTTTGGTGTCCGAGTCTTCCGTATGCTTATTTAAAATTGAGACCCTAAGGCTGAAAAAGACGTGTGTTGTAGTCACCGAAGGGTCTATTAAAATGATAAAGCCAAATTTATGGAAAAACAGGCTTTATCGGAAACATGTGACATTTTCTGGGTTAATCTAAGTTAATAATTGACAGTGTTCATTTTGGACGGAGCCGAATTTACGACTAGACTTGCCGCCCAAGGCACCCCAGAAAAGGCGACTTTTTTGTAGTCTATGGCTAATTGTTCTTACCAGGTATTCGACTGTTCGTATACATTAACTAGGTAAAGTTTATGAACGAGGTTTTTGACTTTTGTTCGGACCAGAAAAAGAATGCGGACGGCCAGCCGAACTTAAAAGTTGTGGATCACACCAATTATTCTTCCCGTCTACCCTTACTGTACTGTGTTGGACACATCTTTCATGCCAATGGGTTTCCTGGCAAGAAGTCTTTAGACTCACAGGACTCACTTGAGTTGATAGTGGCGTCAATTTCCACCTCACCAATACCAGATGTGAGATTCCTTTTCTTTGGTAAAGGCGACAGAACGTTCATGGTGCTCTCTGCATTGCATGTATCATTTTCTATAACAATCATCTGCCTCGTGCCGCACTTAAAGCAATACGAAAAGTATCTGACGTATTCTCTGCGAAACTGTTCTATCAGTAGTCCGTAAATAATGGGATTTACGCATGCATGCAGACTGTCAAGGATATCTGAAAATTTAAAAATCTCTTTTGCGATATCTGATTCCTTTTGACCTCCAAAATCAAGCAAAAGCCAAGCGATTTGTCCAGGAAGCAAACAAATCGCGAACAGGATCACAATCATAGTGAGTGTTTTGATAACTTGGATGTTTTCTTTCCTTCTCTTTTGCGCCTTTTTCTTATTTGACGTGGATAAGGTGCTCTGAGGAACAGTTGATCGCCAGAGATAGATACCGATCCTAACGTACGCCACACCAATGATTAACAAAGGTATCACAAATTGTAAAATGCAGAGAGCAACGGTGTACGCCTTGCGATGATTTATGGACGGCCAATTCTCGAGGCAGACCCCGTTGTTAGTTTGAGAGACGATTGATAAAGGAAGGACTATTATTAAGGATGAAAACCAGATAACGGTGATCCAAATGTATGCACTTCGCTTCCTCATCTTGGGTCTATAGGGGTTAGTTATCAACCGACAGCGATATATTGCCATGGAGGCGATGGTGAAGATGCTCAAGAAATAAAAGGCTGTCACCAGAGGTATTAATAGTCGACAGTAATACAAATTGTGGTGAATTTTATTGATGTAAGAGTAGATGCTTATTGGGGTGAAAACTACGATGAAGCCAAAATCGGAAATTCCAAGATTCAAAATGAGAAGATCATAAATCGTCCTTTCTTTTTTCTTCCCAGCGATCACTGTAATTACTAAACTGTTACCTCCAAATCCTATGATAAGAAAAGCAATGTAAAAGCCGATTTTCACATTTCTTTCTGTCGCTTCACTTGCAGGATCGTCGAAGTCCGTGTTGTTCATCCTGTTTTTGCAATATTATGTAGTAAACTTTTATCACCCGGTGTCACTCAGTAGCACCGACCATTTCTTGCCTCGAAACCAAATCCCTTGGGTTTTTTTGGTTAGAAATATCTTATTTTCTTGTATCAGTTGCAAGAAACCTCTGTGACAGTGTTTGATGAGAATTATCTTGTTATATTAAAGAGGGCTGTGTCAACCCAACCTGCGTTGTCTTCTTTTATCAGAATCCAGTGACGATGACTTTCTACACCTGCAGTGGAAAAGAATTTTCAAGATTTTTTTTACAAAGGTTACAAGTCGGCCGTGCTTTCTTGTCGTTTTTAAGACTTATTTTCAAGCTTTTTAATCAGTACTGTTTGACCGCTTAATGACAGCGGCCAATCATAATTGTCTCTTCCTCTCTTCCCTAACATACCAAAATCAAATTATTTTGCGACAATTAGTGAAGTGTCACTTACAGGTATCACATGAACGAAGTGTGTGATGCGGTGAAAGTTATTTTCCCAGAGAAACTGGATCATCATTAGGTCTTTGACTCATAAAGCTCTTCAGTTAATATTTCCCATTACGCGGCTTTACCAAACTTGTCATTTGTAAACCAATGCTGCTGATCTTTAGCCTGTAATGATAAAATCCTATGGCGGGCGGAAGGCGACCGGGCTCAGCGTTGATATTGTTTCATTTTGACTTGCATTGAACTAGCTAAATAAATTAAAGCAAACAAGGCCAACCGACTGTATTGCAGTGAATATTGTGCAAAGCTGCTTATTGGAGGAGAGATTATAAGCTAGAAATTTAATTGTGTGCCGTACCAAAAAGGTCAAAATTGAATATTATGACTGCAGATAAGAATAAGCTGCAAGAGTATAACCCGTATTACAGAAACTAGCGTTCATTTCACAATTTTGCCTGTTTTTGAAATAATTCCCACATTCTAGACTAACTTTTTCTCATTTTTTGGCTCCTCCTCCATAGCTTTAAGTTGGTGTCAACTGAATCATTTACTTCTCGCACAATCGTGAGAATGTGTCTCTCGTACTGAAATTGCCACGGCAATTGTTTCTCCTCCTTGATGTGCAAAATGAATCTCAATATGTCCGCATTTCTTGCTAGCACCCGTGACAAGAATGTTTAAATTTCTTCGTGATCTTTTGAATTTACAAGAGTGTTACTTACCCCAGTCAAGAGCTTGCCCCTCTTATATCGATTTCTATGGAGCAGTATCTCCTGCAGTCGTTTAAATTGCTGCTGTTTCCACTACAGGTGTAAGTGATGACTTCCACAATCACTCCACGATGTCATCTGTCTATAAATAAACATTCCTCAATTTTGGTTCATCAATAATATTCGCCTACTTCACTGACATTACGCCAGCAGTAAAAAGCATACAGAATTTCCAGTGTAATTCGTTCTTTGCAATGATCAAAGATTACCTTGGATATTGTTACCCGCTGTTTTGCAATTAACTACAAAACGTATCTTTTCTAATATGAAGGTAAACAGCGATATCCTGTAGAACATAATGATGTTTGATCCGAAACCTTATATTTTCATTTAAATTCTTAGTTTATGTCAGTATCCTCAATTTTTCACAGCTTTTTGAAGCTTTGCTGAAAATTAAAAAGTTAGTGTCTGGAAAACTGAATTCCCATCCCTCCTCATAGAATGTAAATGTGAACGACTGCCGCTGATTTCTTTTTACTTTGTTCGACTGACGAGACGAGATCTCCGTCTCTGTTTGATGCTCATAATTGCTGAGTTGTTGCATCAAATTAGAATTAACCCAGTTGTACTTCCTCAGCACTTGTATTTTCAAGATCGTTCAGTATTGTATTAATAATAAATACAGATATTTCGTATTGTTGACTGACTCGCTGAAAAACTTTGGATGTAATACATATGTTCACACGTTGAGAGCCAAGAAGAGATGTTATGAAACCATTCAGAGCGTAAAAATGGTTTGTTACGGTTATGAATATTGCAAGGTATAAGCTTTACTAGCTGTTCTTGATATCATTAAATAATCGCACACGTGTAAGCAGCTTTTACTGATTTAGAGGATTTCGTGGTGTTGGCTGACATTCTCCTTTCAGGTATCAAATTTTAAGAAAACGAACACAAAATTTCAATATTTTTTTTGTTCAGTTCGCTTAAACATATAAACGAATTAATGAATTATGAAATGGTAGTTTTGAACTCAATGATTATTATGATTACTAAGTTTTGGCTTCAAAGGATTCACAATCAGTTCCGTTTGGCCCAGGAGGTTAACCATTACCTTTTACACTCAGTAATAATTGCTGGTATTTAATTGTGATCGTGATAATTTCAATTTATTTAACATAACAAAAAGAGCTCAAGGATATTGCTTCAGTTGCTCATTATCTGAATAAAATTATTTTCTGAGCCGTTTTTTTCTCCGGCTTCCACTCCTGCGCCTCCAATATCTTTTCGCAGCGCGGAATTAAAAAATAGATCACTCCCACAACTCAGTGATGTTCAGACGGGCCGTTTTGAAAAGTAAGGTGCTGCATTGATGGGGAAGTGAAACAAGAATTTGCTATCACCTACTCAGGAGTTAAGTTCCTGGTGAAATGAACCAGTCGTGGTAAAGAGAATGTTTGAGTGCTACAGCCTATTCAAAGACGTCTATAGTTAAACGATGACCAAGGCCAAGAGAGAATGTTCTCTCTTGCGAAGGCCCTATGCAGTGGTCAATTTACATTGTCACTGAGAGCTTCTTTATAGCAATACTTAAGTCTAACATTTTCATTTTACCTCCCACGGTTATTTGAAGTCTTAATACAACTCGTCTTGCACCGGTTCTACTAATTTCAATATGACGTATGATCCATCATTTGGTTCAGGTTTCAGATTCCGATTAGGGAATGGACATTTCGTATCTGTTTGGGATGCTTATACCGCCTATATATTTTTCAGCGGCAAATGAGATTTACATTCGAGAATGACAACTGAGTCTCAATTTGAATTTTATCGTGACCTTTTACAAGAAAGAGAAAGCGTCTAAAATGCTACCTTTATTTTTCTTAAGGTCATCTAGCTGTTTACAAGCCAACTGACTATAAATAACTCTTTCGTCAGTAACAGGAAATTTTTTCTCATGATAATTTCGGCCTGTCACTCTGAAAGCGAATCCTGAAGACAATTTCCAACAAACAATTGTTGTTGTCCCTGATTTGTAATTGGGAACTCACTGTGACGTACCAATAAACGCTATTTTGCCTTATTTACCCGCAACATGATGCATAACCATTGTTTCGAGTGATCCAAGACAAGCTGGGTGGGTGGGCGGGGGGGGGAAAAAAGGTGTTTTATTGGAAATGTGAAAATAGTGAATAAGCTTTCAGTAGAAGATGAAAAGCTAGCAATCCTTTTCTATGCCCATCGAATTTTCGACAGTAAAGTTGTTATTACTCTTATATATTGCTTCAGTCACAGACAACTACATTTTCAAAACGAACCTAACACGCTAACACGCATATATTGAAACTCGACATGATTATTGGGGAAGAACCTTACATTTGCATGACTTTCGTCATTATAAAATATTTATGCAATGAATATTTTACCCAACCTTATATATTAGTTTTAAGTTAACAACCCTTTACTTTGATATCAAAATGGAAACAATTCTTGCATGAGGGAATAAAGAAAACATGAAAGACGGACTTGATTAACCAGCGCTGACTGATCAATTTTTATCGTGTCTGTGACAGGCCACTAAGTAAATAACTAGAAAAATAGAAAACACAATAGCCTAACGGGTGAAATAAATTTAAAGATTTGATAAGATAGTAATATTCAAAACCGGAGAGAAAATAACTTATTTTTAATGTTCTATTACTTCCGCTTGCAAAAATAATTTTTTTTTACAGTTGTGGGTGGATTTATCATCAAAATTTCAAGCTACGAAATTTTGCATCACAAGTCTGGCAAGATCTCTGGGTGGATATAAAAGAACACACTTTATGGTTCTTTCAAGTAGTTTTTAATGACCGATTTCAAAATTACTGCAGGTACTCAAGATTTCGCTTACGTCCGAATCACACATCCCGTTATGTGTACGTTAAGCGTAAGTCGGCAGCCAAGGTTAAATTTGCGGTTTCAGTTTGCCCGTTTTTTTGTTATTTTCAGGATTTCACCAACACACCGTTAACTATTTAAATGGCAAGAGATTAGGTCGTTTAAAATGCAAACTTAACAATTTTCCAACACTTTTTTGTTCCACCTACCTGCAACCAAAATGCGGTTTCAAGATTTCACTCAGGAAAAAAATTCATGCTAAAAATAGGTTACATGCTAGCAAAGAAATTTAAATGCTTGATGTTACACCTGCCGGCTCCTGGCCCTTTCTTGGCTTTATTCTTATGCATTCAAACAATAGCGTGGCTACACATTTAATACTTCATTTATTCGTTGCCGGATTTTCCCTTAAACGTGTGCTATATAACTGTTAATCGTCCCTTTTTACAACGATGATACAATACTTATTAAAGAAACGCGTTCTTTGGAAAATCAGAACATGAGGGTTCTTTTTTATTAAATGTTCTAATACCTCCGGTGGTTTCGTGGATGCTAAAATACTGAACGTTTGGCAATCAGATTTATAATTGTTATAAAGACAACATATCAAAAATATTAAAATTTCATTTGACGAGTTTTTAATGAAAATAGTTGGAAATATGTGTCTAAATGTTAACCGGCAAATACCTTTGTCAACGTTAGCTATTCAGTTTTATATCAGTATATTGGAATCAACAGCCATATTATGGCGAGTTGTGATTAGCCCGTCTGTTAACTTACCTTAAAAGAAAAAGAATCAAATCGTTAGGACAGCCGTCGTACCGTGTTGTTATGGCGACCACTCAGATTTTTCTGACAAGTTGAATTAACACTAGCAGCCCTGAACTCTCCATTAAGAGTGGATAAAATAACGTGCAAGTTTGAGAAACTTTCTATCTAACAGTACAGGCCTACCG